TTTTAGGGTGAATTCCTCTCTGACAGAAAAAAAATCCACAGGAAGAAGCAACATTCCGTAAGAAAACGGATTTGGCTTTTGTGTGCTTGCATACAGCGTGATTACAAGCTGCCTCCTGCGTTCAGAAGGCAAACAGCACAGGGAGGAGTTGTAAGGGGCACAAAGCAGAAGCAGGCTCCCGTGTCCTCGCCGCCCCCGCGGCTCCCGGGCACCACCGGGCTCCCCCCAAACCCAAGCACCGTGCCAAGGCACCAGCACGCTGGCAGGTGGAATGGGGAGGGGATAACCAGCTCCTTGTGCTGATTCTCAAAGGTAGAGCCTCCGATGGGGGCGAGAGAAAAAGAGAGGTCCCCAGGGACCCCACCTCCCCCTCCACTCTTGTGTTTCCAGTCAAGGCACGAGCTCCCGCCGTGTCAGCAGGGGATGCGGGAGTGGAGATGCTGCAGGGTCCTGGGTGCCAACGCAGCGGCATTGAGGTGGGTGCCGAGGGAAGGGATGTGGTCCAGAGGGGACGGCAGAGCAGGCAGGCGGGATCTCCTCCCTGCCGGCCCTGGACCCCAGCTCGCAGCTGCCCAGCATCGCAGGCATAACCCCCATGGGATGAGGGGCTCAGGGTTGCCCCATGGTTCACTGATGGGTGCTTTTGTCCTCTAAGACACAACAGGGACTTGGAGAGAGAGCGACCACCCCGACACACGCCACTCCCTGGCACGGCAGGGAGATGTGCAGAGTGTGGCCAGCAGCAGGGACCTACCCCAGCCCCTCTCTTCCTACACCCAGCCCCGGAGAAGCCACCGACAAAGTGCACCAGCGTTGGACAGCCCTGCCTGCATCCCTGCCTGCACTCCTGCCCGTTCTGCATCCCCAGAGCAGCCAGGGGGAGTGCAAATTCAGCCCATCTTGACCTCAGCAGCTCCAGCCCCATCTGGTTCCTGTTAAATCAGCCACACAAGGTGGAGAGGGTTTCCTCCCCCCACACTATAGCGCGCAAAGAAGGGGAGGTAAAACAGCTTTTTTAAGACATGGCTGCCCTTCTTTTTACCTTCCTGCCTGGAAGGCAGCCAGGAGCAGCTCATGCCTCCCCGCTCACATCTGGAGGGGACCTTCCCCTCCTGGGGCTCCCTGCGTGCCCCACACCGGGCACTGCTCCTCTGCACGCACTCGCTCCTCTGCCCCAGGCACGCACTCGCTCGGGGTCTTGCTCCTCTTCTGTCACCACGGCAGCTTTGTCCTGAGCTGCTATTTCCAGCCCATGGGACTTTTTGATGTTTTCAGCCTTGTGAGGAACTGGGCAGGCAAACCACAGTCCCGCAGCAGGGAGGGAGGGAGGGATGCTCCACGGCAGGGAGGGATGCTCCGCAGCAGCCTGCTCCTGCCCAAGGACAAGCAGTGGCTCAGCCCCCACGGGAAACACCCCGAAAGCAGACGTTAGCTCATCCTAAGCCCTGTCTAAACTGCCATAAAACTTGCATCACCTTTCCGATAAAGGCTCAAGTGTTCTGCCCAGCTGAAGGAGCACCGATACCCACCCGCACACGAAAGTGAAGATCCAGCCCTGCTGCTGAGACCCCACCTTCCTCGGGCACAGGACCGCGTTTCACCAGCATCCCCTGACAGGCCAAATAAAGTGTGTTCCCCCCATGCCGCAAGCCATAAATGAAACAACTGGCAAGGAGAGGGGCTGGAATCCAAGGGTGAGCCCTGGCACTGGCAGAGAGGAGCCGCAGAGGAGCGAGATCGCAGGAACGGAGCCTGCACACCCGGTGGCAGCAAAGAAACACGGACGAGCGTGGGCAGGGGCCTGGCAGGCAGCACCAAGATGCTCTGGGGAGATGCGGTGGATGGAGGAGCCCAAAGGGCCGGATCCTGCAAGCACAGAGGTAAGGGGCAGGACCGTACCAGAGCCCAGAGAGTCAGGGAATGACAGAGGTGATGCCAGCACATGCAAAGCATCAGGTGTTTTAAAAGGTGAGAATCCCACCCTGCTTCCTAATCATCCTTTTTTGGTTTTTAACCAAACCCCAAAGTGTCCCCCTGACTCGGACCATCAGCGGCGGGTCTACACCTGCAGTGCTCTGCTTACGCCACCCATGCCAGTGCTTACCAACCACTGCGGCTCCCAACCAGCCCCATCTCTGCAGCACACTCGGCCCCACTGTGCTTTAAAACCCCAAAATGGTCCCTCGCCATGCTCAGCCAGGGCTGAGCTCTGCACCGGCACAGCCCCAAGCGCATGGCTGGGGCGGGAGCCCCACAGCACCCCTCCTGCCGTGGGCAAGCAGGCAGCACCGAGAAACTTTCAAACCATGAGCGCAGGGGAAAGTCCTCAGCCTAGGAAAAGCCTCACGGGATCCCTGCAGGGTATCGGGAACAGGGTGTTAACCCTCATCCAAACAAAGCTGGGGAGCATTGCTGTGCTACGTGAAAAAAGCAAAGCACTCAGGACCGCAATGGACAGCAGAGGCAGGCAGGGACCCTGTTGCAACACCCACCCTTGAGCTGCTCCGGTGCCCAGGGGTTCACCCAGAGAGCGTGCTTGACAGCAAACCGGGCCAGAGCAGCACCCGGCTGCTTGCAACGCCCAGACGTCACTGCTGCAGCACCGCTGCAGTTTGCAGAGCAGCTGGTGCTCTCCCCTCCTTCCTAATTGTCTCTCTGCAAACACGCTACTTATCTGCAAAGGCCGTGGCTCCGAAAACAGCCCTTCAGGATACAGCACAACTGTGTCTCACCAGGGCCCTACAGCAAGCCGGAGTGAATTCAGGCTCCTGCCAAGATTTCACCCCTCTGGGAGCAATGCAATCAGGCAGCGCTTCCCCAAGCAAGCCAGCATTTATTCATCAAGTCAGCAAGGAAGGTCCTCTGGTTAGCGTGGGCAAGTCACAGCCAACCCTGGAAACATCTACCAGCCACTGCAAGCATCCCCAGGCATCTGCATCCCTAGCTCGGGCTCTGAGCGCGTTGGAGCGTTCATAAATACTTTTGCACAATTCAAGGTTTGAAGGAATAAGCCTTCCTGAGAGCTCACCCCAGCTTCAGCTCAGCGCTAACGTGGTTAGTCACACCCAGGGGGAAGCAGAAGCAGAATGGAGGAGGTAAACCGAGTCACGCAGCTGTTTCATTAAAACACTATTTCAAAATAATGGACACGAGGGGGATCACGACTGTCGTGTCTCCTAAGAGCTGAGGTTGGCCAAGGAGCAATTTCCCCTTCGGATGTGTCAAAAGATTTAGCTCTATTTCTCGAGTTAGCTCACATCAAGTATAATTCCACTGCTGTTTTTTAAGCCTACATAACACAAATTAGCCACCTAAAATTTTACTCTTGGATATTTCCAAATGGCTTTATGGTGGAGCGGCTACACCGAGGGATTTTTGGGCTGCCCGCAGATGACAGTGACTGACAGATTGATGGCAATAAAGTTATTTTGTCTCCTTTTGCAGCTGACTGAATTTGCATTGGTATTTTCATGGTACAGACTCCACCTTTCATCTAACATGATTAATGCTGTTGTAAATACAGAGAAAGAACCAGCTGCTTCTGGCTTCTTAGCTTCTACTGAGCAGCTGATGAAAAAAAGTCCTTTTGTTCAAGCATCTCTAGAGCCTCTGCAGACTTTATGAAGAGCCTTTTATTTCAAAAGGTTAGAGAAGCACGGGGTGTAAAGCTGGTGTATCCTGCTTTTGTCACCACAAATCTGGATGGTATCTGCTGCAATCAAAGTGCCAGCCCCATCAGCCAGGGACATAACAGGGCATTGGGTACAGAAGGTTTTGCTCGTGTCTTTGCAGGGTCCTCGTGAGCACAGCTTGTGCCCGGCCAGAGAAGGGGCTGAACAGCCTGGAGGGCTCCAAAACCAGCCCTGGGGCCCCACAGATCCTCTGGCAGGAATAAGGCAGCTGAGACATACCGGCGCTTTCATTCACGAGCTGTAAGGGCCGGGCAGGTTATTCACAGACTGAACACACTGTGTGTCCCCAAACCACATAAATGACAGCGTGGGTCTGGTAAACAAAGGGCGAAGAGAACGTGGTGTGCCACAAGCCTCGGTGTAAAATTCAAACAGAAAAAGAAAAGCATTTGGTAACAGCACATCGAGGAGCCTCGGCAGGAGGGTGCCGTTTGCAAGCCAGCCACCAAGAGGTGCCAGCAGCTCTTCCAGAGCCTCAGCAGCTCCTCCGGCTCCCGCTTCACACCAGACTTCTTCACAGAATCATAAAATCTTCCTTTCTCCCACTTCTTTAGCAATGCCCCCAGTCAGCCCAGTTTCAGCTCTGCTGGGTGAGGCTGGGCATGGCGAAGCAGCAGGGTAACCTGACATTACCCACCCCGTACGCCCAGGTTTTACTCCCACTTCGTATGAAAATGCACCCAAAGCCCAAACCCACCCCAGGCAGTTTGGAGGAGCTGAATTAACCCCCATGTTCACACCAGTCCCGGAGAGAAGCACAAAAGGTTTTGCCTGGTAACACAGGGGCAACGCTGGCGCTGCCAAAACCAGAGCCAGGTGAGAGCGGCTGCTGGCGAGGCTGGAGCAGGCGAGCAGGGATGCTGGGACCAGGTGAGCAGGGATGCCGGGAGCAGGTGAGCAGGGATGCCGGGAGCAGGTGAGCAGGGATGCCGGGAGGATTGCGAGTCTTTATTGCCACAAATGGCAGAGTCTAGCGGCCCTGCTTGGCAGGAATGGAAAACAAAGCCACCGCACACTTTCCAACAGCTCCGGCAGCTGCTCCTACCCATTGGGGATGCTGCTTTTGTGGAAAATCTCAGCATTTCTCTGTCACGTCTGCCAAGCACAACCACTAGGAAAATGCAACAGCACTAGGAATTTCTTCCGCTCCTCCTGCCCACTCTTGTGCTTCCAGACAAGTTTCAGTCAATCAACACATCTCCAACCACCCTGGCACAGGAACAATCTGGGACAGACAGACAACCTCCAAGAAGCAAAAGTGCGCACAAAACCTGATGCACGCAGAGCAGAAGCGGCGTTGTGGCTTACCTGGCGCTTTGGAAGGTCGCAGACGTGGATTTTCCAATAGCCCCGAATCCAACTCCTACTGCCAGACCCTCTGAAATAGGAAGGAAAACCAAAAAAGTAAGGTCAAACCCTACAACAGCCCTGAGACCATCCCTCCTTCTGCAATCCAACGGAGCAAAGACCAGCACGAGCAGGAAAGCAGGGCTCTGGGCCGGGTCGTTACCCTTCTCATTTTAATCTAAGCGTATTTAATCTAAGCTCAATGCAAGAGCCTGCCACGCTGTCCGGGGTACTTCCCCGCCATTAACCCAAACCAGCAGTTTTTTGTGAAGCCAACACGGAGAAGAGAGATTTCTGTATTTACGAGTGCACTGGAGGGGAAAAGATCACAATCCCCACCAGCTGAAATGCTGTTTTAGTAAGGAGCATAGCAGTGCAAAACACCAAAGTCTGCTCAAAAGGATTCTGGCTTGGCAAACCTCTCTGCAGAGAGCCGCCTCTGCAAGGTGCAGACAAGCTGGTGCCACAGGGGCTTGCAGAAGAACCAAACACCGACTTCTCCCATAAACTCCCCAGGAGCTGCACTAAGCCGGGACCAGGCTCCCAGCAATGCCACCTCCCTGGTTTCTGGTCTCCCTGTGCCCAAACACCAGCACAACACCTGTACAGTCACTCTCCAAAGCAGAAGGAAACCCAAACTCCACAAGAAAATTCCCACCTTGCAGATTATTTTAGCTTACAGTTAAACCCATTAACCCTAAAGAAAATCATCTGAGGAGCCTTCCCAGGAGGGCAGCGGGTGGGGGAGACCTGCAATCTGCCACTGCCTCCTCTGTGCAGCTCCTTGGGGATAACTGCTCCATCCTTTCCCGCTCCCCTCCTGCCCTTTCTCAAACTTTTCTTACTCTCCCACCACTGCCACAGCTGCCTCGTCCCTCCCAGAAAAAAAAGATCTTATTTTCAGAAAGCATCAAACCACTGCTACTTTTTTTCCTTTGTTCAAAATCCCCATTTTTGTTTTTGCAGCCTTTCTGGTATCCCTCCCCTCCGAGCAAGGTGGGGGGGAAAACATTCAAAGAACAAAAGCAAACCTGTTTGTGTGGCTGGATGGGTTTTACAGCCTTCAAAGGAGGCAATTACGCACTTGGCTGCCACGGCTGCCACCAGCGGGGACAGTGGGGACTATTCAGATGAGCATTCAAACAGGTTGAAAATGTCACTGCGAGTGTTTACCTGTGTACTGGAGGATAAGGTCTCAGAAGAAGAGGACCATGTATGTGTTTGTGGTCTTCTGAATTTCCAGTTGCCTTGGAAACACACCATAAAAAGCAGCGCTAACTCGGATAATCACAGCATTTGCATCCTCGAGTCCAGGCTGAGCATGGAGAACTGACACACACGACAACTCCTCAGAGCCCTGATCCAAGGCTTGTGCCAAGGCTCAGGATGGAGACAGGGAAAACGACAGCAGCAATCAACCCTACGTACAGGATTACGGGGCAAGGAGACTCCAAACTGCCCGTAAAATACCACGACTGGGGGATAACTCCATCTAGTAAAACAGCCAGAGGAACCGAGGCACACGGGGCACGCGCCAGACCTGGGAGGGATCACGCGCTCGTGCAAAGCTCTTGTGAAAAGCTCTCGCACCACCCCAACACCACCTGCCCGGGAGATGTGTGAGCGCCTGGGGCAGGAGCAGAGCCATGGAGGGCTGCGATGGCCAAAGGGGCTGCATCTGCAGATGGGATGGCTTTGAAGGTCTCTGCTCTGCAGGCAGTTAAGCAAACTTTGGGAGGGAGATCTTTTTAAAGACATTTAATGGCTGTGCTCAGTACGGCTATGAGGCTCAGTACGGTGCCCAGAGAGCAAAATTCAAAGGACAAAAGCGCTCATTTGTGTGAATAACGAAAATAGCTTTGACAGAGGGGAAAAACCACAACGATTTCCCCGCTGCAAAACACGTCTCATGGAATAAGAAACTCAGCAGCACAATTAATGAAAGTACAAATTACATATACATGGAAACAAATTATGGGAAATTAAAATCAACAGATGGTGCGTAGTGAACTGCTTATTTGGAGAGGGAGAAGCAGGCGATGGTGGAAGCTGCAGCACGGTGGAGATGCTCACCAGCCCGGTGAGGAGGAGGTGACAGAGCAGCCTCTGGCCACGGGCTCGTCGGGTCCCCGCTTCCCAGGAGAGGACACAAGAGCTGGGGCAGGGCGAGTACGACCACGAATCGGCCAACGAGCTGGTGACCCCAGAGCATCCGATGGGAACTCACAGCCGAGCAAATCTGGTGTCACGTGCGGTCCAGAAACAGCAGGGACCCCAGCACATCCCATGGTCACTGCTGATGCTTGGGAAGCCTCTAATTATATATAGTAGATATTATGTGATGTACTCAACCCATTGCTGTGATTTGTATCAAATATTTCATTTAGAAAAGCCTGCCAAGATCACACAATAACTTCACCACTTCAATAATACAGGTTCAGCCTCTTTCAAAGCAGATGTCAAACCTCAAAATGACTCTGTTTTGCAGGTAAGCAAGCAGATACACCAAGATTTACATGGAAAACAAACAGATCTTTCTGCCAGTTTGCCCACACTCAAAGCTTACAGCCAGCTCAGCCCTCCGGTTGCAGCCCCTCTCTTGGCTATTCTGCACACAGTCAAATTATAAATAGCCCAAGCAATTTCTTCAGGTGGGAAAAGACACAAAAAGAGAAAGGTTAATGTTTCTATGTCAACCACTTACAGATACGCTGCACTGAAGGCTGTGCAAATGGATGACTAGGACATGAGGTCACTTAAGATGGGTACAGGAGAGCAGATCTTGGTACCCACCGAAGGCTCAGACATCAGCTTGAAAAATAAACAGCCCTGTGCGATTTCTGGTTCCTGGCACCATCACGGGCAAAGGGAAAG